GGGAGAATAAGGGTGTACTCACACTAGGCAATCTTAACCGTGCCTGAGCGCGTTTGACCCCAAATCCCGGTTCGTTTGACTAGTGTGATCGCTCCGTTCCGCGCTCGGGCGCGGTTCGTTTAGCCGGCCCTGGCTCGGTTGGAAGAGGTGGGCCAGAGCGTGGTTCAGTTATATATAGATCAGTGAGTGTGAGCGCTAACCTCGCCGGAGCACGGAACTTCTGATACGTGCAGCATGATTGCGTGAACATTTCTGAGCAGCAAGAGTGATAGATCTGTAAAGCAATATATTGTGAGAGGGCCGTGTGTTACCGCGTCCCAAACGACTCAAAATAATAAACCAGAAAGTTAACAAAACGATGCACTCCACTGTGCTGAGCGAGAGCGCTTCTCTGCCTTCACGTGCTATCGGAAGCTTCCTATTTCCCACTTATGAAGTTATGATTATGAGCACGTTGCATTCTTTTTTTGTTAAAAATAACAGTGAACAGTGGTTTGTGAATGTTGATGCTTAGCCTAAATAATTTTATCGGGAGCGTTCATGTGAGCGCTGCTGCAAATGCTCTCATTGGTTGAGACGCGTGATGACGCCCATCCCAATCCAGTACTGATCAACATCCCACCCCTCCTGTGACCCATGGTTTGTCTGTATGTGAATTCAGAGCCAGTGAGCAACGGACTTTCAAAATAATAATAATAATAATAATAACTGCGTTAATGTGTGATAAATAATTGTCGGTGTTAATTAATTAATGTGTTAACGCGATAACGCGTTTACTTGCCCAGCCCTAGTAATAAAATAATTGTCGGCGTTAATTAATTAATGCGTTAGTGCGATAATAACGCGTTAACTTGCCAAGCCCTAAAAAATAACAAATTATTGCTATTTCGTTACAGGAATAAATTACATTTAACAAGAAACATAGAAAACAGTCTTAAATTGTAATAATATTTCACAATATTACTGTTTTTTGCAGCCCTTGTAATAAAATTAAAAATTTTGTGGGGCACAGTAAAAAACACACTTAGAAAACAAAACTTTTTTTTTTTTTTTTTTTTTCGTTCATATAGATTTTTGTCAAAAAGTTGGTTAAAAAGTAAAACAGTAACTATAGAAGTTTCATCTTTATTCACTCAACTAATTATTAATTTCTAAATCATGAAATGAATATTAACAGAACAATTTTTGTGTCACATTTGCAGAAATGCCATTCTCTTACCACAGCAATGACAGGAATGAGAACTCCTAAATGATTTTTGGTTCAATAAAAAAGTTGGTTAAAAAGTAAAACAGTAACTATAGAAGTTTCATCTTTATTCACTCAACTAATTATTAATTTCTAAATCATGAAATGAATATTAACAGAACAATTTTTGTGTCACATTTGCAGAAATGCCATTCTCTTACCACAGCAATGACAGGAATGAGAACTCCTAAATTACCAGCGCTGCTGGACGCCTGAGGAAAAACGAACATAAGAAACATTCAAAAGCAGAAACACTACATTACTCAAATACTCCATATGTGACCCTGGAGCACAAAAGCAGTCTTAAGTCGCTGGGGTATATTTTGTAGCAATAGCCAACAATACATTGTATGGGTCAAAATGATTGATTTTACTTTTATGCCAAAAATCATTAGGATATTAAGTAAAGATCATGTTCCATGAAGATATTTTGTAAATTTCCTACCGTAAATATATAAAAACTTAATTTTTGATTAGTAATATGCATTGCTAAGAACTTCATTTGGACAACTTTAAAGTCGATTTTCTCAATATTTCGATTTTTTTTGCACCCTCAGATTCCAGATTTTCAAATAGTTGTATCTCGGCCAGATATTGTCCTATCATAACAAACCATACATCAATGGAAAGCTTATTTATTCAGCTTTCGGATGATGTATAAATCTCAATTTCAAAAAATTGACCTTTATGACTGGTTTTGTGGTCCAGGGTCACATTTTAGCTAGATATTTCATGACTTTTCCACTGTCACAAATCCTATTACAGCACTGACACTACTGTTCTGCTCTGAATTCAAACAATCCTTCCTGTTGCAACTTTTAGCAGACCACACTGCATTTCTATTAGGGCTGCACGATAAATCGCATGCGATATTTAACGCGCAATTCCTCTTTAATCCTTATATAGCATTTACAATGTCCCATATAATGAATGCTAGATGTGCTGTACATCGCATGCTTGTCCTACAATGAAGTAGAGAAATAATAATACACGACTATAATGTGAAGGTTCGGTACCTTGAGGGCCGGGCCCTTCTCACTGGCTCTTTCGCTGGCTCGTTTCCCCTCCAGCCCCAGCTGCACAAACAGCTCCAGCAGATTCACCAGCAGCTCATCCACCATCTGCTCTGTCTGCAGGTTTGCTGCGATGTTGGCCAGAGCGTTGATCACGGCCAGAGAACAGTGCATGCATAAACACAACCAAACTGAGCAAAGATAAAGATGCAATTGACAAAATGAAACAGTACAGCAATGCATTTATAATCTCTCCCGACTTACTGAATTTTCATATTTATTTCATACAAACATACATATATCTTCATGTGTATGTAATGTATAAAGGTCCATAATACAGTATATAATCGTTTTTTTTTTATGTTTTCAAGAGAAGTCCCTTTACTGTTCACCAAGGCTTCATTTATTTGATTAGTAAAAACAGTAACATTGTTAAATACTATAATAATTTAAAATAACTGTTTTCTAGTTATATATAATTAAAAATTTAATATATTCCTCTGATGACAACTGAATTTTCAGCAGTCAAATAAAATAATATACTAACATCTAAAACTATATTATACAATATTAATGTTACTTTAGCCTTGGTGAGCATAAGAGACTACTTAATTAAATAAAATAGATTATTATTATAATTATTATATTTAATATTATTTGTTTGGTTTATTGTGTTAATTATGTATATTAAAATTATTTATTATTATTATTATTAGTTTTTGTTGCTGACATTGTTGTTTTTACATTGATCACTTGGCAAGTAAATTACGGCAAGAAAAATTAATTTAAAAAAATGATGTGACATTTCTGAGTGAAACAGAATATTCAGGATAATAAGGGCAGAGCTTGATTTTATCTAGTGCGATTAATATGATTTTTCTCCATCCACATACCCTTGGTAACATCAGCAGAAAGGAAAAGTCGTCAAGCCTAAAAAATCCACTGTAAATCATCACCTGTATCCATGATCCTTGTAGTCTTTGGTGGAGTAAACCATCGAGCTGGCCTTCACACTAATCTGCTGGAACAAGTTCCAGACTTCCTGATAAATGTATTGCTGTGCGAGACAAACAGGAAAGGAAACTTTAGCACCAGCAGGCCGATCAAAACAATCCCTGTGACAGAAGACGGAAATGCTGGCGTACGTTTCCTGTGATGACCATACAGCCCAGCTGATCTATGATGAGGACGTCGAGCTGAGACGGCGGCTGGCAGAACTTCTGCTGCAGGATCTGTAGGATGGGCTCCATCACGCGGGGAGTGTCTCTCAGAGCCACGGCGATGTGCCCTAATGCTCGTATGGTGTGATCAGGGATGAGGTGGGCATCCCTGTGGGAAAGGGACACTAATAACATTTTAGGGATTCCCTTAAAAATAATAAAATGTCCCATTTTCTTAAATTCCACTTGAGAGATTCAGAATAAGAATGAAAGACTTTTAACTATTTAATGACCAATAAGAATTAATTTTGGATCAGGATGCATGATATGTGATTTATTGTCAGATTTCAATAACATACTTGTCATTTTCCTGCGAGATGTAAAGACGGTTGGAAAGACTGGCTAGGAAAGCCTCAACGATGACTGAGTCCATGGACAACCCTGCTTTTAAACACCTGGAATAACAAAAATAAGTCCCTTATTAGTGACTAGTAACTTCTTAGAACTGTGGTGAACTAAATGAAAAACTGCCAAGTTATACTATAGACTGTCAAAGTTCAGGTTATAGCCTGAATCCCAATTCTCACGTACACTACCGTTCAAAAGATTTCTTAATGTTTTTGAAACAAGTCTCTTCTGCAAGACAAACTTTTAACATACTTTAAACATACAATGATTTGGAAAACACCACTCCTAAACTCATATATGTGATGCTGGACCACAAAACCAGTCACAAGGTTCAATTTTTTGAAATTGACATTTATACACCATATCAAAGCTGAATAAATAAGCTTTCCATTGATGTATGGTTTGTTATGATAGGACAATATTTGGCCGAGATACAACTATTTGAAAATCTGGAATCTGAGGGTGCAAAAAAATCTAAATATTGAGAAAATCGCCTTTAAAGTTGTCCAAATGAAGTTCTTAGCAATGCATATTACTAATCAAAAATGAAGTTTTGATATATTTACGGTAGGAAAATTACTAAAAATCTTCATGGAACATGATCTTTACTAAAT